CGCTGCACCACGGTTAAAATTCACTGGTACCGTCATGCAATGCGCCAAATAGAAAATTTTGATTTCGACCCACAAAACAAAATTAGGATCTGCTGCCTTGCTCGCTCGCTTCAGGCTCGCTCGCTGCGGCAGCAATTACACCAATGACATTGGTATACTCAAGAAAATTCGAGGAAATCTCGGATTGTTTCGCCAGCCATTGTTCAGCTTGTAATTTGATATACCTATTTAAAATATTTGAATTACGTTTGATTACATAATTTGTGGTAAAAATCTCGCAGCCTGTCAACAAGATGTGTTCGCACTGCCAGTTGTTGATAAGTCTGGAACAAGTTTTTATCATCTTGTAACAAGGTTGATGAGGCCAACAGACTCGCAAACATGTTAAGTCTGATATAAGCTCGTAGCAACTCAAGTTACGAACAGCCTGTGTTAGTCTTGTTGAAACAACTTGTTGAAAGTCTGTTAACGTCATCAACCTTGTAACAACCTTGCAGAATTTGAAAAACATTTCTTTCCACCAAAATACTAAAAAGTGATAAAATTTTAGTTACGAACGCTATGACTATGTAGATGGTACACTAACTCTTTTAAAACCATCTGGTTTTACTCACACTCTCAAAAAAGTTTCAATGTTTTGTTATTTACAGCTCAGGCAGGAGTGTCGCTCAAGATTAATCCTTCGTTGGTAAAAAATAGTCAACATGTCAGTGTTACATGGAATGGAGTTGAAAATGCCACAGCCAAGGACTTTATTGCTCTGTATTGCCCAGAGAACGCGAAAGATAATGAATATATCGACTACTTCTATGTTGATGTTTCCCCGACATATGCCCAGGGCAGTGGAGAGTACTCTGTTCAGTTGACCAACTTCCGTACAAATTGTGAAATGCGATATTTTCGATATATTTCAAAAGATAAGCAGGAATTTGTAGCAAGAAGTAATACTGTCATGTTTGAAGGAGGGCCTGAGGAACCATTACAGATACATCTTGCTTTAACTGGGAACCCGAGTGAAATGAGAGTGATGTGGGTCTCTGGAACTGGTGAGTAGTTACGTTTTGTGTTTTGCTGCACGCGAAAACTTACATGTGACTAACTTTATTTACAGTGGATAGCTCTATCAGTGGCATGCTACACCGTATTGCCATAGTGGCCCAGTGTTACAAGTAAGAGAAATTCCAAGTAGTTCAATTTATTTTTCTCCATGTTTTAGATGAAACACCATTGGTGACATTTAGCAAAGACAGCAAATCACGTAATGGTACCGTCGTTAAAGGAACAAGTCAAACGTATAAGGCCACTGATCTTTGTTATCTAAATGGAGTGTTTATAGACCCCGGCTACATTCATGACGTCTTGCTGACTGGTTTAGAACCATCAACAACGTATTATTATTCATGTGGAGTGGAGAGTGTAAGTCGTTATAATTCTTGTGTTCAGGCTGCTTTAGACTATCAAAGTTTGTGTGATCACGGTAGGAATTTTGCATGGGTTAATTCTAAGTTTTGTAGGATTTGTGAGAAATGTTTGAGGAAACTGACTCGGTATACTGGTGTGGCCTGCAGGGCGAAATATATGAGCCCCAGTGTAATGTTAAAATCACCCACATATGAACGAAACAGATCATTTCTTCTTCTTCATGTAGCATATGAGCGAGGTGCGTCCTTTCAAAACAGCTCCTCCTGTTGGTTCTAACGTGTCGTACAAATTCATCGTGTATGGTGATATGGGATTGTCAGTTCCAGCACACGCTACTGCGAAATACGCTATGAAAGATGTGATGGATGGTTATGCATTTATATTTCATCATGGAGATATCTCCTATGCCAGAGGATATGTAAGACTGGGAACTAGCCTTCTCTGCTGAGGGTTTGGGAAGCACAGTAGTTAGTACATGTGGCTTTTATCTTTGTAATTGTGTGTTTATAATTTATTCTTAGTCACATGTAAAAGTGTGCTTCCAGTTTAACTTTACCTCATTCCACAGTTTTTCTCGAGGTACTCTGGTTTCCTCCTGCAGTAATACTGGATGAACAACTCTTACTGGAACCTCTGTAGGAAGAACAGTTTATAACAGACAGAGCTAATTCCTCCTGTGATATGATAACACTGGATCAACAAGAGATGGCTCTTACTGGAACCTCTAGGGAGAACAGTTTACAACAGGCGGAGCTGATTCCTCCTGTGATATGATAACACTGGATCGGATCAATAATGAATGACACTTACTGCAGTTACTGGACAGTTTAAAACTGATAGAGATATAAAACAAAGTTAGATTAGTCAGTCTAAGGCGACTGAAGCTTGCTGATATTACTAATGAGATAAGCTGAGATATAAACAAAGTTAGATTAGTCAGTCTAAAGTGACTGAGATATTCAACTGGTGTTTTACTTCAGGCTTACATCTGGGACCAATGGCAGGCGTTAATTGAACCATACTCCAGCCTAGTACCATATATGGTAGGAATTGGTAACCACGAACAAGATCATTTAGATTACTCTGATAAAGATCTGAGTGGTGTCACTGGCAATGGTTGGCATCCATGGTGGGGGAACTATGGTGATGATTCAAATGGCGAGTGTGGGGTCCCTATGTTTTATCGTTTTCATATGCCTGATAATGGTAACTATCTCTGGTGGTAAGTAAACTGTAAGTTTGATACATTTATTTAGATCTAACGAGGAGTAGCTGCGAAATTTCCTTCTACAAAACCCCTTTAGCATTGGCCAGGTGATCTCGAAAAAGACCTGGCACTAGTTGTAAAATAGAAATCCATTTCTGGTTTAAAATGACTCAATATCTCATTAACGGCATTAGATTTCCATCTTTTAAATTTGTCCCAGACATTCATTTCCCTGTGCAGGACACAGACACAAAGTTTCAAACAGTTTCACAAAAGAATCAGGACGTAACGAGTTGATTAAAGGTACGAAACTGGATTTTTATTCTGTTGCTAGTCCCAGTCCTTTTGTTCACGTCAGGTCACGTGGTTAGTTCAATCGAGTCAGATCACAAATCCTGATATTTACCCACAAACCTTTCCATATAGCATTACCTTACATGAACCTGCTGTTAAAGTTGGACAACTGGCCTCTGTAGCTCAGTTGGTTCAAGCACTGCACCGGAATCGCAGGGCTACAGGTTGGATTGAATGGATTCCTGCCAGAGGAACTATAGTTGTATTTTTCACAACTGCTCCTGGTTACATCCAAATAAATGTATAAAATTTACACTTGAAATTTCTGTCTACAAAACCTTCTTTACATTTTCCATATTTCAACATTCACTTGCTTTAAACAAGCCTGTGTTTTCAGGTACAGCTACGATTACGGTTTGGTTCATTACATCATGATGAGCACGGAACATGACATGGGAAATGGATCCAGACAGTATTCTTGGCTAGAACAGGATCTTAAAAATGTCGACCGCACTAAAACACCCTGGATCATTCTTGCTGGACATCGACCTATGTATACCAGTGAACTTGCATTAGGTAATATGGATTTATTGTTTATAATTTTACCCTAGGTTTCACTAGCAGTGGGACAGTGCAGTACATGATACTCACATCAAAAAGACAGCTGTCAGGGGTGACTAAATTGTTTACTACAGATGTGTTGGTGACATTTTCTAGCATCGTATCCTTGAATTCCTTCCTCCTGATATCAATACATATCAAGTTCAACACGATCAGTGGCAAACATTTCATGAAATATTGGGGAGGGGGGAATTGAGGTGACTTTAGGTGTCTTTTAAGTCTCATTATAAGTTTATCGCATGCTTCACTGCATTTCTTTGTTTTGGCTTCTGCAAGTTTTACGCTTCGTTTACACTAAACCAGATAGCTTTCTGTAGCGGCGCGAAAAAGCACGTATCCGATACGATAACACAACTTTGAGCGAAACAACATCTCCCCAGTTTGTTGCAAGAATTCTTCTGAAAATAACGCAAAGGTACGAATAGGTACGAATATTAGCCTCTACAGAAAACTATCCGGGAAAGTGCAAACGTAGCCTTCGAGTTTGTTTCAAATACTGAGCATGCTCATGTCTTTCAGGTGATATGTTTGTGTCACTGGGTATGCAACATTTGTTTGAAGACCTCTTATACAAATACCGCGTTGACCTAGCATTCTGGGCGCACTATCACAGTTACGAACGCACATGCGCAGTTTATAAGAAGAAATGTATACAGGATGGGGTAACACATATCACAATAGGAACTGCAGGGAAGAGTGAGGATCATGAGCCATATATAAAGGAGGATTGGTCATTGTTTCAACGTAAAGATAATCCGTACGGTTACGGTCGTGTGATGATCGCCAACCGCTCGGCTTTACATTGGGAATATTTCGTGAACAGCGAGGATAGAGTTGTGGATGAGGTTTGGTTGACAAAGACTGCTGCTGCTGGTGACCCTCTTTTCTGATTTCTTCATACAACTGTGTTTTGATGAGAATACTGGACTTATATCGAGATTTATATCGTATAAAATAAGTTAATATTACATGATTTTCACACATAATAATGTTAAATAATTATTTAAGTGTTTACATAACATTGTTATTGAAAATGAATAAAATTTTCAAATCTTTTTGGTAGCAATACAGAAACGAGACTTTGTAAAACCCTCGGGCTATAGACGCTCGTAAAAACCTCAGACTTAGTTGTGACGTCATTGCCATTTACTCTGACTCGTTTTCGCGGTTTTAGCAGACCACACTGTGAGCAGACCTTACCAACTTACCATCACGGCAGATTCAACTGTGATCTGTTTAGTCTTGTCAAATAAAGCTTTCAACGCTTATTAATAAAGACATTTGAAAACCTGTCATTTCCCATTTTTGTGCACTATAAAGGTGTTTGTCTCTTTCAAGCTTATCATGCAGAACAACTTAAGATATCACACTTCATTCCGCATTTGAATAACAATATGCAGGATAATTTATTATTTAAATATTGGCATTTTCAATAAACCCTGACCTAAGGTCAGTGATGGCGAAGTTCATTAGCACAACTTTGTGTCTTGTAGCTTGTATTTTACTGAATGTTCAAGGAGAAAACGAACTAGTCCCAACGTACTTTGCAAGAAAGTATAAGAATGGAAGCTATATAGATGCGACTATTAAATCCAACTGGTTAAAAATCACGCTGCATCCTAGCTCAATGCTGCTACAAAGTTCAAACACAGCAACTCTGAATGTTCACCCTTCTCTTGTTAAAAATGCTCAATATGTCAACGTTACTTGGAAGGGTGTTGCAAATGCAAGCGCAGATGATTTGATAGCTCTATACTGTCCAGAGACATCCAAAGACAATGACTATTATGACTTCTTTAATGTGGACCAGTCTTCAACGTACAGTCAAGGTTATGGTGAATATGCTGTACGATTATATAATGTGAGGACAAATTGTGAAATGCGATATTTTCGACGCGTGAGTAGTTCAACAGGGCAGCAGGAATTTGTAGCAAGAAGTAATATTGTGATGTTTGAAGGCGGACCCGAGCAGCCATTACAAATACATCTCGCTTTGACTGGAAATCCAACTGAAATGAGAGTGATGTGGGTCTCTGGCACTGGTGAGGCTTTTTACTAAAATAACATGAAGTATCCATCCTACTTACCTTCACACGTAAAAATGAACAAGCTGTTCCAGGTTGATATCGACAGGCTTGAACAAGGTTGTGCTGCAGCCTAAGAACAAGTTGTTAACAATGTTGTTGCAGCGTTGTGCAGTTGTAACAATACTGTGACAACATTGTTGACAACTTGAGCACAACCTTGTTCAAGCCTGTCGATATCAACCAGAAACAAGTTGTGGGTTTTTACGCGTGTAGACTTATTTTATATCCACATAAACTTACCAACCTAATGTTTTTGTCTACCAGATCAGGCACCCATTGTGAAGTTTGGTCGCAGCAAAACAGAACTTGGCTCCGTCGCTGAAGGAAAGTCTCAGACATACACAGCAGATGACTTTTGTTCTCTTCAAGGAAAGTTTATTGATCCTGGATATATCCACGATGTTCTTCTCACCGCCTTAAAACCATCCACAGTTTATTATTATTCATGTGGTGTGACAGGGGTAAGAGAATGTAGACTTGCCTACCTACCTACCTACCTACCTACCTACCTACCTACCTACCTACCTACCTACCTACTCACCTATCTACCTTAGCTACGTAAAACGAACGCTAATATATGTTCCACCAATTCTATTTCAGCACATGAGCTCGATAAGATCATTTAAAACAGCACCACAGATTGGACCAGACGTTGGTTTTAAGTTTATAGTATATGGTGATCATGGCATACTACCAGCGGCCTACAGTACTGCTAAATATGTTTTTAATGATGTAAAGAACGGTTATGAGTTTATTTTTCACAACGGAGACATCTCTTATGCCAGAGGCATGGTAAGTCCAGCTTAGCTTAGATTGGAAGGAAGAATTCCAAAAGTTTTCATGTGTACCAAACAATTAATTGCGGGAGTCTCATTGTTTTTTTTCTCTTTGTGCTTTCCGAGTCTGAGTTTTCTTAACATACATTGTTTTGATACCACACAAACGTAAATTAAATCAATTAAACACTGGCTGATTTAAAAAATTACATCATACACTCAAGTTATATACTATATAGTGATTTAAAACGCAACAAAATATATTCAAAAACTCCACTAACCAGGTGCGGTGAGAGAGACCATACCATTGCTTCGTATGCACTCAAATTTCGGAAGTGTTTATTGAAACAATATTTGATCTTTTACCAGGAGTATATTTGGGAACAATGGCATGCACTGATTGAAACATACGCCAGTATAGCACCATATATGGTAGGTATTGGTAATCATGAGCAGGACCATATTGATGACTCGGGCAAGGATCCTAGTGGAGTAAAAGGGGATGGTTGGCATCCTTGGTGGGGTACAATGTATGATGATTCACATGGAGAGTGTGGAGTGCCAATGTTCTATCGTTTTCATATGCCTGATAATGGCAACTATGTATGGTGGTAAGTCTTCTAATTGATCAATAATTGATAATATTCGAGTAGAATACAGTCGTCGTCACCAGTCCGATATGAGAAGAATTCTTCCACGTTTTCTTTAACCAAACACTTCAGCTTTTCTTTTTCCCCAGGATAAATTCGGAACTGTGCTCAAATTCGTGCGGGTTTAACTTAGAAGAACAGTTTAGAAATAATAAAGAAATCCAGTACACATTTAGTTAGTTGGAATAATCGTTGAGTATTGTTAAAAAAATGGTTTCTATTTAGGTATAGTTACAACTATGGCATGGTCCATTTTATCATGATCAGTACAGAACACGATCTCAGTCCGGGATCGAGACAATACGTTTGGTTGCAAGAAGATTTAAGAACTATTGACCGTTCAAGAACCTCGTGGGTGATCCTTGGAGGACATCGACCAATGTACACCAGTGAAATTGATCCTGGTATGTGATAATATTCTCGATCAAACGCATTAATAACTTATGAGCGAGAAACATGACCGAAATCAGTACCGTATGACCGTATAAGCCGAGTTACACAACACGACTTTTGCCTAAAACTGTCGCATGCAACCTGCTTACAACTTAGGTTGTACTGTGTAAATGAAGCACACACGTCGCTTACGTTGTCATAGGTGAGTTGTATGCTTGACTTGATGTATCTACTCTGTGGTGTGACACTTTCCTCAGGTAGCACAAATACCAATTGATTTTATTTTTTATTTAGGAAATTTCGTTGTGGCGTTGGCTTTTCAGTTTCTATTCGAAGACCTATTGCACCATTACAAAGTTGACTTGGCATTCTGGGCACATTACCACAGCTACGAACGCACATGCGCAGTTTATAAAAATGCATGTACTAAGGATGGTATTGTGCACATTGTTATTGGTACTGCAGGAAAGGAAGCTAGGTGGCCGCCCTATCTGCCACCTAATTGGTCCAAATTTCGCCGCCATGTTGATCCGTATGGTTACGGTCGGGTAACGCTCGCGAATCGCTCGGCTTTGCATTTTGAATATTTCGTGAATAGCGAGGAGAAAGTCGTTGACGAGGTTTGGTTGTACAAGGATAACTAGGTCGGAAAATTGGTTTAAATTGCTGAGTTTCAAAATACTTTCCCAAGCAGAATGATGCTGGTAAACTTGAGGATTTTTTAATTAATCAATTAATTACAGAAAATTAATTATCAATTATTAATTTCATTAATTTATTATTTAAGTAATTAATTAATTAATTGATTAATTAAAGGAATTAATTAATTAATTAGATTTTCCGTGAGCCTTTTTTGATGAGCTATTGCTCCTAGGGTACATGCTACACAAATATGTTTAAAAGAAAAAAGAAAATTAACAGAAGTTTCTGACTCTGAATACTTTTACATTGAAAAAGTGAATTTAATTTAATTTTGATAAAGTAGTAGTACCTTTGATAACATATTCTGTGGTAATTGTTTTTGTTTGTGGAAACACCACGTAAATTTATTACTGCAAAGCGTTCGATCCGTAAGCCCGGATCTTCATCAGTGCTAATAATATGTTTCATATTATTAGCACTGATGAAGATCCGGGCTTACGGATCGAAAGCTTTGCAGTAATAAATTTACGTGGTGTTTCCAGCTTTCCACAAACAAAAACAATTATATTTTATCGCCATGCAAACATTCAAAGAACTTATATTCTGTGGTGTTTATATCGTATAAAATAAGTTAATATTACATAATTTTCACACATAACAATGTTAAATAATTTATTTAAAATAAATAAAATTTTCAAATCTTGTTGGTAGCAATATAGAAACGATACTTCGCTAAACAACTTCAACTTTTCATCAAATTGTAAAATCTCGCGCTATATATAGGCGCTCAGTCGTAAAAACTTCAGGCTTAGTTGTGGCGTCATTGCCATTCACTCTCACTGGTTTTAGCAGGCCACACTGGGCCATTCCATTTAATATCCACCCGTCCCCCCCCCTATGGACGAAGTCAGTAAAATTTTAACCCTTAAGGAAAGAAGATCTCAAAGTGCCGACACAAGACACATATCAGAAATTTGTAAATTTTCCCCTTACCTCTGAAATAGGGGGGCGGGGGTGGACATTAAATGGAATGGCCCACTGTGAGCAGACTTTACCAACTTACCATCACGGCAGTTTGAACTGTGATCTGTTTAGTCTTGCCAAACAAAGCTTTCAACGCTTATCAATAAAGACGTTTGAAAACCTGTCATTTCCCATTTTTGTGCACTAATTAAGGTGTTTGTCTCTTTCAAGCAGAACGACTAAAGATATCACACTCCCTCAATTGAATAACAACACGCAGAATAATTTATTATTTAAATATTGACATTTTGCCTAAAATTAACCTTTGCCCAAGGTATCAAAATACAGGACTGAAAACAAAACATCATACAGTGATGGCGACGTTCATTAGCACAGCTTTGTGTCTTGTAGCTTGTGTTTTACTGAATGTTCAAGGGAAAAACGAACTAGTACCAACGTACTTTGCAAGAAAGTATAAGAATGGAAGCTATATTGATGCGACTATTAAATCCAACTGGTTAAAAATCACGCTGCGTCCTAGCTCAGTGCTGCTACAAAGTTCAAACACAGCAACTCTGAATGTTCACCCTTCTCTTGTTAAAAATGCTCAATATGTCAATGTTACTTGGAAGGGTGTTGAAAATGCAAGCGCAGATGATATGATAGCTCTATACTGTCCAGAGACATCCAAAGACAATGACTATTATGACTTCTTTAATGTGAACCAGTCTTCAACGTACAGTCAAGGTTATGGTGAATATGCTGTGCGATTATATAATGTGAGGACAAATTGTGAAATGCGATATTTTCGATGCGTGAATAGTTCAACAGGGCAGCAGGAATTTGTAGCAAGAAGTAATATTGTGATGTTTGAAGGCGGACCTGAGCAGCCATTACAAATACATCTCGCTTTGACTGGAAAGCCAACTGAAATGAGAGTGATGTGGGTCTCTGGCACTGGTGAGGCTTTTTACTAAAATAACATGAAGTATGCTGGCCCTACTTACCTTCACACGTAAAAATGAACAAGCTGTTCCCAGTTGATATCGACAGGGTTGCGCTGCACTCTCAGAACAAGTTGTTAACAATGTTGTTGCAGCGTTGTGCAGTTGTAACAATACTGTAACAATATTGTTGACAACTTGAGCACAACTTTGTTCAAGCCTGTCAATTTCAACCAGAAACAACTGAGTCGTGGGTTTTACGCGTGTAGACTTACCTTGTATCCACATAAACCTTATCCACCTTACCAACCAAATGTTTCTGTCTACCAGATCAGGCACCCATTGTGAAGTTTGGTCGCAGCAAAACAAAACTTGGCTCCGTCGCTGAAGGAAAGTCTCAGACATACACAGCAGATGACTTTTGTTCTCTTCAAGGAAAGTTTATTGATCCAGGATATATCCACGATGTACTTCTCACTGCCTTAGAACCATCCACAGTTTATTATTATTCATGTGGTGTGACAGGGGTGAGACAATGTAGACTTACCTACCCAACCAACCAAAAATTCACCCACCCACTTACCTATCTACCCACCCACTTACTACCTACCTACCCACCTACCTATGTACCTACAGTACCTGTCCTCTATTTACCTACCTTGGCTACGAAAAACAAACGCTAATATATGTTTTACCAATTCTATTTCAGCACATGAGCTCAATAAGATCATTTAAAACAGCACCACAGATTGGACCAGACGTTGGTTTTAAGTTTATAGTATATGGTGATCATGGCATACTACCAGCGGCCTACAGTACTGCAAAATATGTTTTAAATGATGTAAAGAATGGTTATGAGTTTATTTTTCACAACGGAGACATCTCTTATGCCCGAGGCATGGTAAGTCCAGCTTAGCCTCCTCCGCAGGCATCGCCTTTAGATTAGCAGGCAGAATTTCGTTGCAAACAAAAACATTCTAGTGCAATCCAGGTGAATCCTGCGGAAAAGGTTCCAACCATTATTTCATGAGTTTTCATGTGTACCGAACAATTAATTGCGGAAGTCTCATTGTTTTTCTTTCTTTGCATTTTCCGAGTCTAAGTTTTGTTATACATACATTGTTTTGATACCACACAAACATAAAATAACTGATAAATTAAATACTGACTGGTTTAAAAAATTACATCATACACTCAAGTTATATACTGATATAACGATTTAAAACGCAACAAAATATATTCAAAAACTCCACTAACCAGGTGCGGTGAGATACTATTCCTTCGTATGCACTCAAATTTCGGAAGTGTTTAATGAAACAATATTTGATCTTTTACCAGGAGTATATTTGGGAACAATGGCATGCACTGATTGAACCATACTCCAGTATAGCACCATATATGGTAGGTATTGGTAATCATGAGCAGAACCATATTGATGATTCGGGCAAGGATCCTAGTGGGGTAAAAGGGGATGGTTGGCATCCTTGGTGGGGTACAATGGATGATGATTCGCATGGAGAGTGTGGAGTGCCAATGTTCTATCGTTTTCATATGCCTGATAATGGCAACTATGTATGGTGGTAAGTCTTCTAATTGATCAATAATTGATAATATTAAAGTAGAATACAGTCATCGTTACCAGTCCGATATGAGAAGAATCAGTCTAACAGGTTTTCTCCAGATCCAACCAAACACTTTTCTCTCTCTCCGTTCACCCAGGGCAGGATGAATTCGGAACTGTACTCAAATTCGTCCGCTTGGAAGAACAGTTTAGAACTAATAGAGCTGATCAAGTAGAAATAAAGTTAGTTGAGTTTAGAATATATCGTAAGAGTGTTCTTTAAAAAATCGTTTCTATTTAGGTATAGTTACAACTATGGCATGGTCCATTTTATCATGATCAGTACAGAACATGATCTCAGTCCAGGATCAAGGCAATACGTTTGGTTGCAAGAAGATTTAAGAAATATTGACCGTTCAAGAACCCCGTGGGTAATCCTTGGAGGACATCGACCAATGTACACCAGTGAAATCGATCCTGGTATGTGATAATATTCTCGATCAAACGCATTAATAACTTATGAGCGAGAAACATGACCGAAATCAGTACCGTATTACCGTATAAGCCGAGTTACACAACACGACTTTTTCCTAAAACTGTCGCATGCAACCTGCTTACAACTTAGGTTGTAGTGTGTAAATGAAGCACACACGTCGCTTACGTTGTGGTGAGTTGTGTGCTTGACTTGATGAATCTACTCTGTGGTGTAAACGTAGCTTTTACACACTGCAACTCACTGTTGTTGGCAGGTAAGCAACAGTTGTGTTGTTACCACAGTAATAAAAGGCCATAAATCAAATGTCGAGTGTCTCTGTAAATACTGTTTTTTGGGGAAGTTATTTCATACAAGAAAACTGGAGTTGATGAGTTAATATAATAATTTGAAATACCGAAAAGTGTGTCGAAAAACGTGGTTGGTTTGAAAGCTATCTTTCACACTTTCCTAACGTAGCACAAATACCAATTGATTTATGTTTTATTTAGAAAATTTCGTTGTGGCGTTGGCATTTCAGTTTCTATTCGAAGACCTATTGTACCATTACAGAGTTGACTTGGCATTCTGGGCACATTACCACAGCTACGAACGGACATGCGCAGTTTATAAAAATGCATGTACTAAGGATGGTATTGTGCACATTGTTATTGGTACTGCTGGAAAGGAAGCTGATTGGCCGCCGTATCTGCCACCTAATTGGTCCAAATTTCGCCGCCATGTTGATCCGTATGGTTACGGTCGGGTAACGCTCGCGAATCGCTCGGCTTTACATTTTGAATATTTCGTGAATAGCGAGGAGAGAGTCGTTGACGAGGTTTGGTTGTACAAGGATAACTAGGAAAGTTGGTTTAAATTGATGAGTTTCAAAATGTTTTACCAAACAGAATCATGATGGTCATCTTGAGAACTGTTGATACTTGATATAGAAGCAAGGAAATTTATTGACTTCTAAATTAGTAAATTTTATATGTTGATTACTGAATATGAATTTGCTAGTGCACATGTTAAAAGAAGGTTAATTAATTCGATTAATTAATCTAATTTCTTTTTAATTAATCAATTAATTCAAGAATCTAATTTCTAATTAATTAATTAATTAATTCAAGATAATTAATTAATTAGATTTTGACTTGCGTGAGCCTTCTTGATGAGCTATTATTGCTCCTAGGGCAAACGCTGCGCAAAATATGTTAAAAAAGAAATAAAAAGAGAATTAACCGTAGTTTCTGGCTGTGACAACTATCAGTTGACGATCATCTGGGCGAGATCTTGGTATCATTGAACTATAAATAAACTGAAAGGCTAACTCAGCGGGGGAAATATTGAAGCCGTGCTTTGTAGGTAGTGCCAGACTCTTTTTGCACTAAATTTTTTTTGAAAAATACACTTTATATATCGATAAATTTTACCCCTTTAATTTCCTTTCCCCCTTTCCCTTTTCATTTTAGAGCATACTAAGACAGTTAATATTTTCACTCAAGCTCGGCCTTTCCCAAGCGACTGAGTTGTGGTATTTACATGAACATACCATGCAAGTACTAACTGAAGATTCAGTCTATATCATAATGTACCGCTGTATATCCAAAAACCTATTTGAAAAACGCACGAATTGCAGTCCTAGTGGCTAGTGGCAGAAAAATACAAATATTTTCTGGAGGAGAACACCCCCAGACCCCCCCCAAACCC